ATGCTAAACTAAATGTAATAATTTATTCAATATTAGTTATATTTTAAATTAATTTTTATCCATTTTGATGATATCAACATATGCTTTGAAAGATTTCTTCTATATGAAAGGTATTAAAAAGTCATCAGTTTTACTGATTCCTTACAGAAATCTCAGTGGGATTTTCAGATTTAAATAAACTCTCCTGTTATGTTGCTGGAGAAAAATATAAGTAAGCTTGTTTTTCATGATTTTTTTTTCAATAATTATCAAGTTACCAGTAATTTGTTACTAACAAGTTTCCTCAAATGATATAGAAATCTAAATGTATCAATTCACTATTAATGCTTTAATGAAGCATTGTCAACTGCTGTGGCATTTTATACATGCCCCACTAGGGGCATTCTGAATAGCTTGGCATTTTTGTGCAAGTATAGATACTTTAGCTATGTTTGTTCTTTATGTTTCAGATTTGCAGAACTTAAAGTCAAGTCAGGAAGATGAGTTTTCAGGAATACTTTGACTAAAGCTTTAGGTCAAATAAAAACCTCTAAAGCTAAGCTATTATAGACACACAAAAGTTTTTGAGAAATTAAAAAAGCATTGTTTGGAATCAAGGTAGGAAAGAATAACCACATTCACATTGCCAAGTATTAAACAGTGTAATTAGTTTCTGTTCAAAGAAGATACTTAATGACACTAAATGGAAATATCTGATCGTATCCAAGAAAACTTAAGAAATTTAGGTAGAAAAAGAAAAAAAAAAGTACAACTTAAGCAGAATACAAAGAGGAGCAATACTAAACTAATAGAATCAACTTCAAAGAGAAAGTTTTTTCCTATTTCAAATATAATGTCAAATAAAGGTTTAGCAAAGATTAAGGGATAGCATGACTTCTACTATTTCAGATTAATAGTTGACTTATCATTGCACATGAGATGTTAGAGTTGAAATGTTCTTTTTAAATACATGAACAAATTGAAGTCTTAATATATCAACAGTATTCAAAACACCAGCTTTAGAATTGTAGATGGAATGTTTCATTCAGTGATCATTTGTTGGAATTTGTTCCAGCAGAAACTATATTCTAACTATGGGAACAGACACTAAATAATTAGGACAGAATAACAAAAGTTTTTAACGAGGTATCTTTTTATCACAAGGATTTTCCAAAGATGTTATTTAGCTGAGTCTTGAAGGATAAAAAAGTACATCTCTGCCTTTAAAAGATACGGAAGGGTAAACATGAGTAAAAAATATAAAAATGTGAAAAATATGGCCTTTCAAGATTCACTGTAGATTATCTGGTTGTCAAAGCCTTTCTGATAACATTGGACAACAAAAATGGAGGTTTTTGATATTGTAAATATAACAGGATACACCAGAATGTTTTTCAATGCACCACTAATATATAGCCAACAGATAAATTCAAATTTTTAGTTTTATTGACTCGTGACAAGAATAAGATAGTCCTATCTCAACATAAGTATCAAATAACCAATTATACAGAAAATGTGTCCTTGTACATACATGGTTCCTCTCAATCTTTGGAGGTGAACTAGCTCACACATGGAGCAAACAACCAAAACCTTCAAGTCTTAAGTAAATCTAGGGCTTACACATATTCCTTAGACTGTATGACCGAATTCTGGTAGTGATTCTCCAAATTTTCTTCTAGGTAGGCAAATGTTCTACTTACCTATCATCCTGTTTAACTGCTAATCTCCTTCCTTATCAGTCTATATCCTTATCAGGATTTGTAGTTCTTTTAAAGGTAGCAGGAAAGGTACTCAGGAAAGAACCAACCTCTCCACTGTACAAAGGCAGCAGGCTTCCAGGTAAATGCACAGAGTATTTCAAAATTTGAAAATTTGAAAAGACTCATTAACAGAGTCCTACATAATTTCTTAAATTTGGGAACAATTTATTTAAATGACACTTTTACTTATGTTATTCTCCTTTACTCATACAAAACCCTAAATTTGCAACATTATATTTAGGTCATTAGTGTAGACATCCTTTAGACAATACTAAGGACAGCAAAGGTCAAAAGTCCAGAGTTAAATGTCTGAAATGGCCATTTGGAATAGGGATGGCCATTTGGAATAGGGAGTGACTTCTTTCATATAGAGTCAACAGATAATTTATTGAACACCTTTCTACTAGGAATTTTTCAAGGTTCTCAAAAGACATTCTTGCCATCATGGTGTTTACATTTTATTAGTAGATGTTAAAATTAGGATAAAGTCCAAAATAAATGGTCCAACAGTATCATAAATGGATTCCAGAGCTTTTGAATACATGCCTAACAGTCCAACCTCGCTTTTCTACAAAGCTCTTTTTGAAGGAATTCCTCAAAATTTTGAATACTGCACATGGTGGATAGATGTCCAAGAATATATTGATCTCTTCCTGACATCACTGAAAAAGTAGGGTTTGTCACCAGAAAAAAACTTGTCCTGTAATGAGTGAAATCTAAGATGTGACGTGAGCCCTGATAAAACTGTTCTACAAAGGTGGCTCTAATGGCACAGGAGTCTCAGCTTCTTGGCATCATTGATGCCTTAGCTCAAAAGATTAGATAAACAAACACTCTGTTAATTTTACAGTCTTCTCCTCTGGGCTGTAATCTTGTGAAGGCAGGTATCATGTCTTAACACCTCTGTGGTTAGCACAAAATAGCTGTGCAGTAAGTTTTTTGTTTACCTAAATTAAGGGCAGTATTATAAATACTCTGCCACTATTATAAAACCCCATCATTATTCATGATAGTGAAATATTTTAATGCTTTTTTATTTATTACATCACTCTTCATATTTGTACAATGTATGATTTTCCTGTGAAATTCCTACCACCAATTCACCCGTGAACCATCACCATAGTCTCTTGTGCTCTTCCCATCCCGTCCTGATCCTTTTCCCTCCTCCTCCCTTACAGAACGTCTTTGATCTATAATTGGCTATTGATTTTGATTTTTACTTTATTATAGTTACTTTGTTTATCCTGATCCCTTGTTTGGTTTCTCTACATTCCTCCTATAACTGAAACCATCCAATATTTTTTTTTTCTTTCTGGCTTATTTCACGGAGCATAATCCCTTTCAGCACCATCTATGTTGCTGTGAATGGCATGAGTTTATCCTTTTTGATTGCTGAGTAATAATCCATTGTGTATATATATCACATCTTCTTGATCCAGTCACGTGATAGTGAAATTAATCTAAATGTTCACTCAACAGTCATCACACAGTCACAAAAAAGAGCTCTCTTTGTGTATCTTTATGTGATTTTTATTAAAATACCCTGATACAGATTATGTAAAACATGTGATTTCAAATATTTAATATTTTAAAGTCTAGTCACAAAGTTAAAAATTGAAAAAAGTCATATTAATAATAGGTTATCTTCGGGTAGTAAGATGATAAAAGCTACTGCTTTATTTATTACATTATCCTCATGCTTGCAATTTGTCTTTCATAGTTGTCATTTTTATAAAAGGAAATGTGAAAGGATTTTAATCTAAAATGTAACTGGAGGTATGAAATCGAGAATCTCACATATGTGGTCTCAGAAGGCTGGAACTTAAGAACTGAGAGACTATTTTCTCAAAAATGCCTGACATACAGAAAGAAGAAACTTATCTCCTGATTCTGGACAATCTGCCAAGAAATCCCTCCATCCTTGAGCCAATTAACTTACTGTTTAGACTTCCCCCTCCTTGAGCTACTTGACCAACATAGCCTGCCTCCAAAGCCCCACAGACTTGGCTATAGCTGGCTATAAAGTATGCTTCCCAAATTACTAATCCACAATAAACTCAGTTTCTCACCATTCACGCTTGCCTCAATTTACCTCTTTATTTAGACTGACGCAAATATAACATACTTTTTTTTTGTTTTAATACTAGCATGTATCATACAAATGTTTTTATTTATTAATTTTCAACCTGGTGTCCTTGACTTATTAATGACAATTTATTTCATATTCTAATTACTTCAGCTAAAAAAAGAAATTCAAGGGGGAAAGGAAGAAAAGAAGTAGTTGCAAAGGCATTTGAGATGTATTAAATACCAGTGCCTCACTTATAACAAAATCAAATATTTTTCAAGTATTTAGCTAATTAGTATATATGAAGTGTTTTCAAATGCAAACAAAAAATGCAATATTTAATTTCTTCTATCATATATTCTGTATTATATTTTATATTACTTCCTTAGACTCAAAATGTTAAAAATGTTCTCACTTTCTCTCATTGCTTTTGTAGATTTGGTATCATGCCAAGAAGAACATCTTTCAGCTGAACAAATAGAATTCTTCTTGGTTCATTGGAACATTGAAAAGTATACTGAAAATAATTTGAAAATAATTTACAGTTTTGGCTTGAATGCCAAATAAGATTTTTTTGAGCATTTCCCAAATTCTCTGTAGCTGCTTTATCACATTTTGAAAGATGTACAACTTAACTAAGGGCTCCCATTGTGTTCAGAATTTTGGGGCCTGTATAGAAAGAATGAAGTTATGGGTGGGATCATTATTTTTCTTGCACTCCCTATCATTCTGGAATGGAAAATCACTTAAATATGAAAATCTCCTCTTTCAACCTTCGGTGTCAAAAATGGTTCTATCCTGTATATATAATCAATCATTCTCACAGTTTAAGAAACAGGGCTAAGTAAAAAATTAAAAGTTTGCCAAAAGTACATCTGGAACCAATGATTAAGGCATTGATTTCTATGTGCAGAATATAGAAGAATTATATTTCTAAATTTAAAAAAAAGCATGCATTCAATATTTTTGTCCATTCAAGAATCAATACTAATTTTTCAATGTTCAGGAACAGATTACTATCTATGGTGACTTTGGAAGGAGGTGAAATGCTGCCATTATATACTCAAAATAATTACATGATGGATGTTGGATTTCATTTCTTGCTATCATCAGTTGAAAAAGAGCTAAATACGGAATGTCAGTTTATGGAAATTATGTACATAACAGAATGAGGTTTCTTGGTATGGTCTTACCGTAGCCAGTTGAAATGCTTCCATTCCTCCCCTGAGTGTAATGAGAAAATGCTTATTTGGGCTTTGAGGCTGCAAACGCAAACTTCTTCAGTCGTATCTTTAAAAACAATGATCAAATATCTCTTTGGTATGCTTCATTTTTTTTTTCTCTTTTACTCAGAATTTGTCCTTTTCTTATATCTTTTATTTAGTTTGGCCTTCAGCCCAATATATCTTTCCTCAGCTGGTACCACTTTGACTTCTGGGTTCTATAGAAAAGAATGTGATTCAATAAGCCAACTGGCCACAAGAAATCTGATTTTGACAATTTACAGACACAATCAGCTGCTGCCTGTCTCATTTCAAACATACAGGATCTCCCCAACCTGGATATTTATATATTGATGATGATCTGTTTTTTTCTAGAGGGCTTTCTTTTCTGAAGAATGAAAGAGAAATCCCTAGTAATCTCAATTAATGATGATCCAAAATATAAAATTCTGTTCTGGCTGCTAAGCAAAATAAAAGCATTAAACAAGGATTTGTGAAGGAAATCTAGTAAAAGCAATGAATTCTACCTACCAGTCAAACCTTATACTAATCTTACCTGCGCCCCTGCTATTAGAGAAAAAAAAATGTATTCTTCCTCCAAAGGTTTTTCCTATTCAATCAACTACACACATTGTAATCTCTTGCCTTAAATTTCTCTCTCACTTGTTTTTTTTTTTTTCCTCTGTAAAGTTAGTATTTATACATTTTAAGTCTCCATTAAAAAACAAACAAACAAACAAAAAACTTTCCTAATGCCACATCTCCATTTAAATAATAGCATCTTGGGCCTCCCTGGTGGTGCAGAGGGTTAAGCACAGCAGTGAGATTGTCCCAAGCCTTTGCAGCAAGGGTTCATTCTAGCTGCCAGGGAAATACTCACATGGCACACAACAGACCTCTCCTGTCTGCCCGCTGTTCCCCTCAGCAGTGTTTTTGGTCGGTCTGCCTGTTCTGCTCCACACTCCATCTCTGGTGAATCCTCTCACCCTCCCGTGCATCTGGCCTATACCCCAGCTCTTGTATAAACACATAACTCTTTAAAAACAAATAACTAGATAGATAGATAGATAGATAGATAGATAGATAGATAGATAGATAGATAGACAGATAGATAGATATAAGAGCATTTCTCCCTTCTTCACAATTCTTTTTTTTTTTTTTTCTAATACTCATTCTCCTGCAAATACTCACTCCACTGAATTCCTTCTGGTTCTACCTCTCAATACTTACTTTGGAATGCTTTCAGATGTAACTAACACAGTTTCTCCACCAAGTGTTTTTATTAACTCATCTTAAATGAATTCTTAACTGGATGGGTCTAGAGTTTGTTAATCCAAGAATTTATAAGATCAGGGCTCTAGGTCCATTTCTTTGTGATTTTCATTGCTTCTCTTTCATGGTCAAAAGAATCTTTGTGCAACTCTAAGTATCAGGTCCCTGTAAATCAATGCTCAGATGGGAAAGAAGGGGCAAGACTTCTCCACAGGAATCCCTTTCCTTTTTGTTTTTAATCCAGAAAGGAAATCCTTCCCTGAAGACTTAAGTACATATACCATTACATTTAAAAGATAAGAACTTCATTACACATTATAATTTAACCAATCACCCATATGGAGAACAAGGTAATTTCAATATCCCCTGCAAAACTAACTACTTACCTGTAATTTTCATTCAAATGAACCAAAGTCCTTCAAATTTGACATATGCAAAAGCTCAAATTACTTTAGACTTTGTTTTCTTTATAGGTTCCCTATTTTGATGAGGGATGTTAATTTCCTGGGATAAAAATTTGTATCTCTCCACCCATATTCAACTAGATGCAAAATTGTGAATCTGTTCTTAACACTTATCTAGTTCTGATTCATCCTTTTTTTCTTTTTTTTGCATCCTAGCACTATTAATTTGGTTTGGACAAGTATCATGTTTTAGAATACAGACCCTTGCTAAATTGATCTATGGCTCTCATCTTGCCTCTTCTCATACATTTGCCACATCTCCAGAGGGAATATTTTCAGAAGTAAAGTAGATCATATCCTGTCCATCTGCATAAAGATTGCATCCTGGCAACTTTTAAAATAAAGTTCAGATCTCAGCATTTAAATGAGGTGATTTATAATTTGGCAACTGCCAATGTCTCCAGTCTTATTTTTCTCTTAATATGACTCCAGTCTTATTAAATAATTTCTGATTCTCTTAGCTAACTCTTTCAAAACTCACTTCAAAAGACATTCTAAGCTCTCTCAACTTTTTCACAATATTGGTTAGGTTTCCAATCTCTGTGTTTTTACCTTCATAACACTTCACATTTTTTACTGTCATTATCTACTTTCTTATAATTTTGACTTACTGACTATAAGCTTCTTGAAGCAAAGACTAAGTATCCTTTGAATCAAGACAGTGCCTAGAACATAATGGCTACTATTTTTTGGTGTATCTGCCAACATTTTAAATGCGAAATTGAAATATTTCTCCAATAAAGGAAATTCTTCTTATGTATATTGATTTTTATAAAAAATCTCACACAAAAAATAAATTGCATTCCATTATATAAAATATTGAAAAATAATAAAATCAGGGGCTTTTAGAAAAGTCTGAAATATGTAAACAACATAGTTATGCTATAATAAATTATATTGGAATTACTTCTACCATAATCCTAACTTTTCCATTCTGAAATTAAATTGGCACACTATTTAATTAATAGTTTTTAGCTTTGTTTCACTTTCACTTTTTATTTCTTTACTATTACTTCTACTTTTGGCTTCTATTCTTCAAATTACTCTCATTTATCGAGTACCTTTACTAAAAATTTGACATTCTGCTTCGCATACTTACTTAGTCCTGGGTCTTATGCTGGGAGTCGATATAAATGATTCTACACACTGAAAAAGTGATACTTGAAGAGTCAGTATACAAGGACCCTAGAAAGACAAACAGATAACAATCATCAGCCTACATCACTGTAAAATTCTACAATCATGATTCAGAGATTAAGAACATCATTTTTACTAAGATAATATTGCATTTTAACATATAAGTTTTAGGGGTTCATCATTGAGAATCAATATGTGTGCAAATATACTTTATTTAGGTAACCACTGAAAATTCAAATCTACCTTTCATGATTACCTTTTCCCTAATTTTTCCATCTTCCATCCCCATTCTTTTTTGGCAATCACTAAGTGGTCTTATAATACAACAGTTATTTTGCTTATTTAGTTCATCTATTTGCTCTCTCTAATACCACATATGAGTGAATTCATATGTGTTTGTCTTTCTCTTTCTGGCTTATTTCACAAAGTATAATACCCTTTGAGAGCATCTATGTTGTTGTAAATGGAAGAATTTCACCTTTTTTATAGCTGAGTAGTATTTCATTACCTATATATACCACATCTTGACAAATGTTTATCCATTTGTCAGCTGATGCACACATAGCTTGTTTATTGTCTATGGTAAACACAGTGCTGAAATTAACATGGGTGTGCACATATCTATTCAAGGTAGTGTTTTCATATTGGGGGGTATATACCAACATGCACAATAACTAGAATGTACAGAATTTTATTTTTAATCTTTAAAACAATCACAACACTGCTTTCTATAATTAGTGCGCTTACTTACATTCCCACCAGAATGCATATAAATGGGTTCTTTTATATTCTTGTATATAAAAACACATAATAAGGACATCTTTCATAGGAAAGCTTATTGAATAATTTAAGTGAGCATTCATATTGAAAAAATATTACTTTAATTGTTTAGATTTATGTTCCAAATATTGTTTTGATGGTTGCAAAAGAAGAGGACTTTGATCAATAATTATTTCAATAATTAATTTCATTAATTCTTTGTCAACTTTTACAAAAATATAATCAACAGACAAATTAGCATTCTATGACAACCCAATAGCATGTTAAGAATTGATAGTGCAAAGATAGTCTAGCTGGGAAACAAATAAATGTAAACAAATATTTTCAATTCAATATAATAGTGACATTCACTCTGGAATCACATGTTACTACAACTACTACAGAACATTTTAGCTTCATTAATAATCCATTATGGGTCTATTATAGTTTGAAATTTACTTACTGTCATTACTATCTCTTAAAATAATAAATTCTACAAGTTTGCTATTCACTATAAATTATTACATATTAAATTATCTTAAAATGTATTTTCTGGAACTTTGAACTATCCACATTAATAACATTTGTTGCATTACCAAGTCTCAACTGTGTGCCCAGCACTATACTAGAGCCTTCATTTTGTGATGGTCTAATTTAACCCTTAAATTCATCCTGAACAAAAGTTATTGCCATTCCTATTTTAGATACAAGGATCTCTGAGACTAAATTTAACAGTTAAGGACACTTCAAATAGCAAATACCAGAAACCCTGACCAAGAATGAATAAAACAAAAAGCCTCCCCAGTTCATCTTCAGTCTCAGACTTCACTGAGCAGCCTGCTGCTGTGTTAGCTCTAGAATTTACATCTTCTCATTCAAGCTCAATGGGTAATTTGAAAGCCTGGGCAGACAAAACTCTATATAATCATCTCTATTCTGGCCACATTTCTGTAGAAACAATTGTCCCTTGTGGTGCAGGAAGTACATAACACGAGATTCTTGATTATTACCTGCCACCTTGCCTCTGATTGTTACTTTGGGGAGCATTTCCATCAGGTAAGCCTCAGATTTCTAAGTCCTCAAAACATCATAAATAGCAAGCCCTAAGAAAAAGTGGCTTTTTAAAGTAAAATATGTTTTCTTTTTTTTCCTGCTTCCAGATAGGTCAGTTTTAACTTAGTTTTTCTGTTTCTCCTATGTCCTTACTAAGTGCAAAATGTAACCAACCTACTTTAGCCCTCTAGATCTTTTCTATCAAATGCCTTTTCCAGCAGTTTTAATAAGCTCCTTGTCTGAATCCATAATCCAAAAGACAACGTTCTAATTAGCTGTTTCACCATCAAGAATTGCCAGTCTCCCAGCCCAGGACCCAGGGCACCTTACCACTGTATAAAGATATTTCTACTCATCCAGCTCAAAAATTTTAGAAACCATTACTTCTAACATTCCCACATTCTGATATCCAAATCTGAGTCAGTGAGAATTATTTAGTGGAAGTTAAACTTGTAAAAGCATAAGTAAAAAGTTCAACCCCAAAGAGCTTAAGCAAAAACAAACATGCAATTTATTGGTTTTTATAGACAAGAGTAAAGACATAGGGCTTAGCTCCGGCACAGGCAAACACAGGCCACAAACAATTTCATCAGGACTCACTCTCACAGCTTCTCTCAACAATATCCCCACTGAGTGAATTTCTGTTTCAGACTATATGTGGCAGTGAGGTGGCTGCTGAAGTCCCTAGCCTGGCATCTCTCAGGTAACACCTGGAGTTGGAACAACACCTCTGCTCTTGCATTTCCGAGATAAGCCTCCCTGCCACTTACAAGCCCTGATCATGCCTCATGTCCAGTCCTGTGCCAAGCATTGGAACCTGAAGCAACGTGATGCACCAGTTAACTTTGAGCAAGTTCATTTATTCCAACTCTGAGTCAAGGATGGGGCCAAATCCAAATAGGTGGGAGGAGGGTGGAGGAGAGACGAAAGACCAAAGTAAAGTTAGGAGCTTTGACAGGAAAAGGGAGGTAAGGTAGAAGTCCAGTTAACAGGGTCATTACACTGAGGCTGAATAGCAAGCATGTGATTGAGAGAGAATTTAAAACTGCACAAGTGTCTAAGTATACATCACTCTGCGTGCCTAAATCAAATAATGAAGGTTTTCTGAACCAAGTCAATTATCTAATTCCCTATATAATTTATATTTTATGTCTGTCCCTTTTAGAAAATTAGTCAAAACCACTTTTTTTTTTAAAGATTTATTTATTTATTTATACAAGCACTGGGTACAGTCAGAAGCGCGGGAGGGTGAGAGAATTCACCAGAGCCAGAGCAGGGAGCAGAACAGACAGACTGACTGATGAAACACACTGCTGAGGGGAGCTGCGGGTGGCAGGAGAGGTCTGCGCACCATGTGGGACCCTCCTCCAGTGGCTGGGGAGCAGCCGGGGATCGAACCAGCGCTGCAGAGGCTGTGGGCAGCTTTGCAACCCAGCGCTCAACTGCTGCACTGCCGGGGAGGCCCCAAAACCACTTTTAAATGCATCATGTTATTTTGCATTGTGTGGTTACTAATAACAAAACAAAGCATGGTTTCAGTTCATCTGTAAGCTTGTTAACTTCCAATAAACAGAATCGTGTTTTCTTTTTTTAATATTTTTTTAAAAATTATTTATTTAAATATATTTTACATTATTGTTCATTTTTAAACAATGTTTGCTTTCTTTTCTCAGGTGTAGGCCTAGAGAATGCTCTTTTCTTAATAGAAAGAAAATGTAAATGAAGTTGTCATGCCCACACAGTTCCAAAGGGGGAGGGGAGGAATTATCAAGTAGAAAAACATCTTGATCCTGGCATAAAGTTCCCCTCAGGGGACCAATGAGATGAGTAATAAAAAGGAAGCAGTGAATGATGGTGATAGTAAGAGGACAGGGTGGAAGTAACACTACCCTTAGCGAGAGAGTGTAAGCACAGATAGAAAAATTGTCCAATGGGATACTAGCATGTGTCCCAGAGAACACAGACAGTTTCTCATAATCTAAAACACTTTTTACATATTTATTATAATAGTTGTGATATTGTCTTACCAAAAGAAAAGGTTGCATAATCAAAGTAAATACTCCTTCAACTAATGAATATCTGCATTGTTTGGTGCATTAAAATTACTTTTCCAATAGATAGTTCAGTACTATTAATTTTACTTTAAACACCCATATTTCATTTTTTGAGTACTGGGTAAAATTCTAAAATTTATGTATCAACTTACACATGTAATTGGGAAATTGGCATGCAGATTAATATTTTCTTATATTTTGCTGCAAGTAATCCAAGAAATGTATGGCAAATAAGGTTGTAATTACTTAAAAGGGTGACAGAAGTTTGGGTGACAGAAATTGTGTTTAACAATTACCCAAACTGTTTTCTTTAATCTTGTACAGTCACTTTAAACCTCAGAACTTCACCTTCTCAGCTACAAGATAAAGAAAATACACTTGCACTCTGTATTAGGTGATTCAACCCTAAGTTAAAAAGTATGTTTGAATATATAACTTTATAAAAGATATCTAAAATTTTATATAAATGATGGGTATTATTTGTGGCTTTTTATGGTTTATATCATTTCAGATTTACTTATTATGTTCAGTTGCTTATTACATTTATATAATACCTTTCCATGGAAAATCAACTAACCTTTCAAAAAATGAAGTGTAAGTAGCAATGATTTTTTTAGTTACCAAAAAGTTTATAAAAAGGAGTAGGTCACATTTTGAAAAGTTACTGTGTCACATTTTTTGTGTTGAACACAGTATGCTCCATAGACAGAAAAAAGAAAAACACACACACACTTTTTTCTGTGTGCTTCCCTCTAAGATATATTACTACTACTCTTAGGGAGGAGACAAGTCCAACATTGAGAAGTCAACATCTTAGAACCCACTGTCCTAACTGGACATTTTCTTCTCCTGGGAGTATTATGGCTGTATGAAAAAGACGAACTATTTAGAACTTTCTGCACATAGGCTGTTTATTCATGCACTCCACAAATATTTGTTGAGCATCTTCTATATGCCCACATTCTAGCCAGGGAATACAAAGATGAATAAGTCATGGTTCCTATCATTAATGAGCTCACAGTCTAACAGAAAAAAAGGTTATGAAACTTTAATTTTTGAGGTGTTTTCTGACGCTGTCTAGCATACTTGATGAGGAGAACACCACTCTAGGGACTGAGAGGACAGAGAGTCAACTCTTTTAGAATAAGGGGTATGGAAATTTGATGAAGAGAACAATAAGAA